ATATTTCTGACACGTGTCAGACCTATAATCACATGTCGCGTTGTCATCGCTGCCATATCGTGAATAGTACATTCAGACTGCTCATCTATTTTCTGACACGTGTCATAGCCGTATGATGCCATGGCGCGTTGTCTTCACTGTCGTGTCGTGAATAGTATATTCAAACAACTCATTTATTTGGATCAGTGGGATTACCGCTACAATATATAATGCATATGCGTGCTGCTCGTGCGTCTTCCGATCTTGGATGACCCGCTGGCATACATTACCAGTGGAGCCCGAGCCCACGTGTTGGTGATGCTCATTTCGGTAGCGGGCTCCACAAGTGGGGTTTGTGCGAGAGGCGCGTACAGACTCGCCCCGCAGCGCTCGACCATATCTCCCGCCCCATTTCCAACTCGCCCCCAAGGAGAACCTCCCAATGACCTCACCCTCTCTGTGCTCTTCGCCATTCTCTTTCTCCTCCTCTTCCCCTCTCCTCCCTCTCCCATGCTCTCTTTTCTCCCCTTCTCTTCTCTCCCTCAGCCGAGCCGTCGCACCCCACTCCGCCCTGAACATTGGCTCCAAGCTTAGCTATATGTCGCCCAAAAAAGACCGCGCTTTGGCCGCACACGACTTCTCCCGCAACGTCTCGAAGGTGGCTCCGCTCAGTTGCAAAGTCTCTTTCGGGCGTCGCGACATTAGCTCGGAGGAAGGATCCCGTGAAGAAAGTCCGACCGGATTGCAGGAAAAGGAGACACCTTTGGGGAAATCGACCTATGGTGATCGCATAATGCTGTCATCCTTTGGCCCTCCTCTTGATTCCTTCGGGAATTATGATGCAGGGGTGTCAGAAACCAAGTTCCAGATGACTCTCGCCGAGCTCCTCGAGAAGAGCGGAGTCACCCCCACGGCGATTTACGGGGATCTGGACGCCTTGATCACTGGAGTTCAGGACGACTCTATGGAGGTCTGCCAGGGGGATCTCTTCATCTCCTGTGTCGGATCGAAGACGGATGGCCACTTGTATCTTACCGAGGCTTGTAACCGAGGAGCTGTAGCACTGGTGGTAGGCGAAGAGAGTGTTAAAGCTCAAATCTTGCGCTGCGGCTGCAATGCTGTCGTCGTAGTGAATGCTACCGATTCAGCGCTGCCTGTTATTGCTGCTACATTCTATGGGCATCCGTCGAGGAGCCTCTTTGTGGTCGGTGTCACGGGAACGAACGGTAAGACGACGACGACCAATTTGGTTAGATCTATCTTCGAGACAATGGGGTACGGAACAGGGCTGTTTGGCACCGTATGCTTCTTCATTAATGGAGATGAGATGCTGGAAGCTTCCCGAACGACCCCCGACGCCGTGCCAGCCCAGAGACTGATGGCGAAGATGGTTCGCTCTGGTACCAAGGCACTCGTCATGGAGACTTCTTCCGAGGGGCTGGAGCAGGGGAGGTGCAATGAGCTAGACTTCAACGTAGCAGTCTTCACGAACCTCACCAGGGACCATCTCGACTTCCACGGGACCATGGAGGCGTACAAGAAGAGCAAAGGCAAGCTCTTTGCGAAGATGGTCGACCCCAACAGGCACAGGAAGGTTGTGAACATCGATGACCCAAATGCTCCATACTTCATCGATCACGGGAATGCAGATGTTCCACTCGTTACATTTGGAATGCAGAACGAGAACGCCGACGTCTACCCTCTAAAGTCCGAGCTTTCATTGTTCAAGACTAAGGTTTGGGTGAGCACGCCAAAGGGGGCACTAGAGATCAACTCAGGGATGCTTGGGAGGTATAACATCTACAACATCCTCGCAGCCGTTGCTGTTGGGATTGCCGTCGGCCTGAAGCTGGAGGACATCGTGAGGGGAATCGAGGCGGTGAAAGGGGTTGCCGGCAGGTTTGAGTTAATTGACGAGGGGCAGCCTTTCGCCGTGATTGTAGACTATGCACACACACCCGATGCTGTGTGTAGACTTCTGGATGCTGTCCGAGAACTCAACCCACGAAGAGTTATCACTGGTATACCAATTCATGCTTTACTTTCAGCACATTCTGCAGATTATCATACTGAATGAAAATTTCAACTTACCTGATTCAGTGCTCGGTAATTGATCGTCGAAAACTTAATTGCTTGGTTTAGATTCTAATATTTTCTTCCCTATATGTGCTAAAGAGAGGTCTCAATTGCAGAGCATTTTTGCTGTCCTAAACAATACCAATGTACAAGTATATTATTATATGTATCAGTGAGATAAGATGGTAATGTGGAGCTTTACATGACTTGATCTCATGGCAGTGTGATCAATCAGCTGGCTTCCAATTTTATGATAATTCCATCAAATGCTGTCTGTGCACTTTCAGAAAAACCTGCTCAAAACTCTCATGTAGCATTTGAGCATACGAAGATTGGCACCAAAAGTTCTTCTATAGTTGCAACATCTCAAGTTCAGCACTTTTGTGTGTCTTTTTTATGTTGGGAATCCAAAACACAATTCATAAGTGTATTTTCACAAGAAGGAAGTTAAAGATCAGAAAAGTGGCTAACCATAGTTTTATCCTAGCAATACTAGTTGTTGTAGGGTGATTTGATGCATGCTGATAGTTAATGTTTCGCTTCTAGTCTTTGGATGTGGCGGAGAAAGAGATGGGGGGAAGAGGCCGCTGATGACAAAAATTGCAGCTGATAAAAGTGATGTGGTTATTCTGACATCAGACAATCCAAGGAACGAAGATCCATGTATGTATTCTGTATGTTATATGCCAATTTGGTTTGTCATATATTTCTGAAAGCAATGCAACACCTATTGGCCGTATGCCTATGTTGTTATTCAGATATAATAACTTCTAAAACATGCTTCGATGACATTGCTAGCGACAATCTTGGATGACATGCTAGCTGGTGTTGGATACACAATGCAAGAGTCCTCACCACCCGGCGGAAGCAAAATCTATCCAAAG